TGGTGGCATGGCAGGTGGGATGGCGCTGTCCCGCCCTGCCTGCAAATTAGACGCCATCTTTGTTGGTAGTTAATTTGCATGTCGTGCTGATTAGCCAATGGGAGGCGTAACAAAGGTACGGTCAATTACCATGTTTGTCTATTATTAGATAGGATGACTGGGTGGCTTTAGAATTCATTTTTGCTAATTTGCTCATTGTGATCAATGATACTTCTTTTGTTAAATTAAAAAAAAATAACAGCTCAAGCCAGTTTGGCTCAGTGGATAGAGCATCAGCCTGCGGAATGAAGGGTCCCGGGTTCCATTCTGGTCAATGGCACATAAATATATTTAAAGTATATATTTAAAATAAATAAAAATTAAAAAGCAGACACATCTTTATTGATTTTAGAGAGGAAGGAAGAGGGAGAGGGAACAAGAAACATCAATGATTGATCAGCTGCCTCCTGCATGCCCCCCATTGGGGATGGAGCCTGCAACCCCAGACATGAGCCCTGACTGGGAATCGAACCATGACCTCTGGTTCATAGGTTGACATTCAACCACTGAGCCACGCTGATTGCCAATGATACTTCTTAATGAACTCAAACTTACAAGACAACACAGCACTTACATGCAAAACTTATTCTGTGGTAAAGTCATTTTGACAATAAAAGCAAGATCTCCCTCCATTCTCACACAGATTTGAAGTGATTTTATTATTTGAGCTCAAACTACAGTTTTAGCAGTATTTTATAGACCTCAATACAAATAAAAAGAAAATTTTCAAATTTCAAGACTCATTTACTTGTGCCATTGAGCAGCTTTCATTTAACTTTAAATAAGAAATGATTAGTTCTCACATGCCTAAAGGAAAATGTCCAGAGAACAATCTAATTCTATAATTGCCTTCCAAGAGATTAAAATCTCAATTAGGGCCTGGGGCGGGCGGTGGGGGTGGACTGGAAAGGGTCAATGGGGGAAAGGGAGGGACATATGTAATACTTTCAACAATAAAAAATTATTTATTTATATAACCCTAAACACATATATATATATATAAATCTTA